TTACCACTTATAAAATGAAGCAAGTACAACAAGATAAAGCTGTTTGCATAAAACTTTCTATAACTTTTTTGAGTTTGTTTTATTTTATTTTCTTCTTTTTTGCATTTTTTTTCTTTATTTTTTTAAATTTTTTATCCTTATCAAAAACATAACGATGTGTACTGAATATTTGGTATTTTACTGCGCAAATTGGAGTTAATTACTGAGTGTTTTTACTTATAATTTAAAAGCATGTTATTATTCAACAAGTGAGTTCAATACTTTACATTTTCTAATTTTAAGAAATGACTGGAATATTTTTATATTTTTGTCTTTTATTATCATTATTTATAATTAATTTTCTCCACAGTAGAAAATTGAATAAGTTTCTCAACTGAAATCGGTTGAGAAAAGTACAAATTCCTCAACATGATTAGAAATTTTTTTACTGTGCAAAATATTATATTATAGTTTTTTATCGTCCAAAAATTAATTAAATAAAAATAACTGGCCCTTCACAGTTTATACCGATCAAAGTCGATCGCTTTATTACCAGCCTTTATCAATAAATCTCCAAGTTAGAGAGAGCACTTCCAAACTAGCAATCACGTGACTCTTTGTGATTGGTCGACGGCCGAGTAATAACCTTGGAGTTTAGTGCAGACATCTTGCAAGAAACGCTCGACGTTGTTTTGTTGGTTTTCAGTAAAATGTAAATTGTGCCGTTATTTCAAATTAATTGGTAGGTCTCTTGCAAATACCCCAACTTGTCTTACTCACATTTACTGCAAACAAAAACAAGCGTTTTTGTTCATCAGCAGATTCCCCAGAATTTAATTTCAACGCCCAGGGGAAAATTGTGTCGTAAAGTGCAGTGCCACCAACAAAACAATTTTTATCGAGAGATTTTAATCACTTCTGCTCCTTGATTGAATGCAAAACGCGTATCACTGATAAGAGAATTTCCTTGTATTCCTTATCTCCAATTCCGAAAGCCGACACAAAGAATCTCAGTAATTCAGCAGTGTCTCAAGTGACAAGTCATGTCCCCCCTAATTGTATTGACACTTTTGACACTTGCCAGTGCCGATTATTGGTCAGAAAGGGCGAAATTGGTCAATTCTGACTCAAGTCACGCAATTGGCTCGTCAATAGTACTCACTGAGAAAGAACAACAAGTGAATAAAGTCTTGATGAGCCACAAACTGAAAGAATATGATGACGGTTTCACAGACCCACACTCTTTTCTCCCTTCCATCCACTTCTTCAAGTCAAAAAGTGGGATTGAGGCATCACCAGTGTTCGATTTTATCAGAAAATTGCCAAAAGGAGCATCACTTCATTCGCATGACACGGCCTTGGTCTCCTTCGACTACCTCTACAACCTCACTTATCGCGAGAATTTGTACGGGTGTGTGGTCAAAAACCGCCTCCAGTTACACTTTTTTGATAAAAAAACAAGTGGGGAGTGTGAGTGGGAGTTGGTAGAAGACCTCCGGTCCCAAAACAGCTCCTTCGACATGTTCCTCAAGTCGCAATTGTCCATTATTGTCGACGACCCCACCACGGAATACCCCTCTATTACCGAAGTTTGGAACCGGTTTATGGACACTTTTGGGACCGTTTTCGGCCTAGTGACCCACCGACCTGTCTTCCAAGACTACTTCTACCAATCCCTCAAAGAACTCCGCGAAGACAACGTCATGTATCTTGAATTTCGGGGGCTCCTCCCTCAAGTCTACGAGCTCAACGGGACCACCTACGACCACATGGGGGTCACCAAGCTTTACATCGAGACTCTGGAACAGTTCAAACGCGATTACCCCGATTTCCACGGAGCCCGTTTCATTTTCGCCCCTAGTAGAAACGTCGACAACCGCACCGTCGAGGATTATGTGTCAATAACCAAAGAGTTGAAACAGTCATTCCCTGAGTTTATCGCAGGTTTTGACCTCGTGGGTCAAGAAGACAGGGGCAAACCCCTAATTGACTTCATCCCCCAACTCCTGGAACTCGCCGAAACCGACACGAAATTTTTCTTCCACGCCGCTGAAACCGACTGGTGTGGCACCTCCACTGACATGAACCTCTTCGACGCCATCCTCCTCAACACCACACGAATCGGACACGGATTCGGTATCGTCAAACACCCCAAAATCCTCGAAGAAGTCAAAAAAAGAAAAATCGCACTTGAGATCAGTCCGATTTCGAATCAAGTCTTGAAACTAGTGGATGACTTGAGGAACCATCCAGGGGCGTTTTTGGTCAATTCGGGGTTTCCAGTCGTGATTACATGTGACGACCCCAGTTTCTGGGGGGCCAAAGCGTTGAGTTACGACTGGTATTTGGCGTTTATGGGGTTTGCGAGTCGGGAGGGAGATTTGAGGATGTTGAAACAGCTGGCGTTGAACTCTTTACATTTTAGTGTGATGCGGGAGGAGGAGAAGTGTGACGCTTTGGCCACTTGGGAGGAGCAATGGGAGGAGTTTTTGGATATTGTTTTGGCAGGGAACACGATTAGTGTAAACCAAATTTTATAAACTTTTGGATTGAACTGTTTATTTTTATTTATTAACTAAGATATCGTCTAGAAACTTGTCCCATTGGTCCGCCCACTGCTCCAAACTCCTCCTTCTCTCCTCCTCCTCCATACAGCTAAAAACAATCGAATTGATGGCCAATTGTTTCAAGACTTCAAGACCACTGTTTTTGGGTGTCATGGCCATGAAAACCATGTACCAGTCGTAGCTTAATCCTGTTGCATTCCAAATTGAAGGATCATCATTGCCTACCACTACTGGGTAATCCAAAGCCATCAAAGTGGCCCCTGGGTGGTTTCTGGGATCGTCATTTAACATCAAGACTTGGTTCGATATGGGGCATATTTCCAGAGGGATGTTTCTGTTTTTGGCCAATTGTAACAATTTTGGGTGTTTTGTGAGGGCAAAACCGTGTCCAATCCTACAAAAATTTAATAGGAACGAAAATAAATCAATTGAGTTCAAACCTAGAGGAATTTAGTAGAATAGCATCGACAAGGTTGAGGTCAGTGTGACCAAACCAGTTTGTTTCACCGGCGTGGAAAAAGAATTTTAGGTGTTTTTGGGCCCCCATTAGCAGGGAGTGGTAGTCGAAGAGTGTGTGGCCTTCCTCCTCAAAACCGACGAAGTCAAAACCGGCGATAAAATCAGGATAGTGTTTTTTCAAATTGATTATCTCCTCTAAACCGGTTTGGAGGACGTCATTGTCCACTCCTCGATAAATTGAGTGAATGTATTTCACTCCTGTGAAGGCCGGGAAGTCCGATTTAAATTTCCCCACTGTGTTTATGAAAATTTCGAAAAACTCCTCTTTGGAGTGAGTGGTCCCGTCGAGTTCGTATAAGGGCATTATTGTCCCTTTGAGCTCCGTGTACATGACATTATCGTCGTGGAGTTCCCTCAAAACTTGATAAATGTAGTCCTCAAAAACAGGCCGATACGAAAGCATGTCGTAAGTGGTGGTGAAAACCTTCTTAAACTTCTCCCAGACTTTCTCAACACTTGGATAACTCTCTTGGGGGTTTTCCACATTTAAAGTCAATTGTGTGCGAAGCCAGTGGTCAAAAACCGGCGCTGTTTCCCTCTCCCGCATCTCCTTAACCAAAGTCCAATTACACCGGGGGTCACTCTCCGGATTTTGCAAAAACTTCAGCTTGAACACGTTATTAACGTACCCTCCGTAGAGATTCTCCCGATAACTTATATTCCTGATTAAGAAATCAACGGAGGCTGCGGCGAGTAAATGAGTATGAAGTGAGGCTCCTTTGGGGAGTGTCCGAATCATCGCGAACACTCGGGACTTGTCGATTCGGTTTTTGGCTCGGAAGAAGTGTTGCGCTGGGAGGAAATCACTCGAGATTTCGTAAGAGAGCTCTTTATTTTTAGTCGCGAGGAGGATTTCATTCACCGACTCTTCTTTCAACGTTAAAGTGATGTTATGACCGAGAAAATTTGCGGTTTCTTGACACAAAATCGTTGCACGTTCTTGCGAATACTCGTCTGGTGTTGCCATCGCACTGATTAAAGTCACTGTCACTAACACGAGCGACTTCATAGCGGTATTGGTGGTAACTGAATGTCACGAGCGCAGAGAGAAAGGGGAAGTCCCGGAACGGAATGTTAAAACAACAGCTTTGTACTGAACAAAACCACATTTTTATCAAATGCGATTATTTTTATCTAAATTAACAAGTTCTAAAAATTAATTTGTTTAATAATTTTCTCCCAAGAACCCATCCGTTTCACTAATAGCCATATCAACTTGACTGACGGACTGATTAATCTCTTGCTTTTACTTTACGCCAACTCTCAGCGGCTTGAATAATAGATCTGAGACTTCTCCGGCCACCTCTTAAAACACTCAACTCGATTTATTATCACGACACGTGGCGTATTAATCAACAACTGAATCTGTCCTCGTGTGTGAAAATTTAAAAAAAAAACGGGCTCAACCGGGATTTGAACCCGGGACCTCTCGCACCCAAAGCGAGAATCATACCCCTAGACCATTGAGCCGTATTGTTATAAACAAAACACTATTTTTTTGTCAATGAAGGCACAAATTTGACCAAATTTCAGTTAAATAACCGAAAGTTAAATATTTCGTTTTATTTCAGAAGTTGTAACACACGTAGTGAGTGTGGACGCGAATTTAATTATTTTAAGTAAAAATGTTATGCAATTAAAATTGATACAGTGCATGGGTGGTTGTCTATACATTAAGCGCTTAATACTTTTTAATTAATTAATATGATAATAATTTCTACAGTGCGATCAAAAAGTTTTTCTATCAAGTAGGCATCCTAGCTGAGGACGTATGTTGCATGGCAGTTCGTATGTTATCTAGATGTCAAAAAATTATTTTGTAAAAATTAAAATATTGAACTAATTAAATTGAATTATTCTATGAAACGTCTCAAAACAAACTAAAATGAGATCTTGTTGGTGTTTATTCATAAAAATCGGTCACCACGGTTTCCTGTCATAATTTACAAAAAAATATTTTGACATATCTCATTTGTCATTGTGACATTTTATCTTCCACGGACATACGTTTTCAGGGCTGTACCCAAGGGGAGGATTAGGGGGTTCGAAATGCTGAGCACTTGTTATATAGTGTTATAAGTGTTAAAAAATTAGTTTTTTTGTTATTTTAGTGAGTTAATTTTAAATTTTTGTGAATTAATTTATCATGTGTTAAGTATACAGTGTTTCATTTTTATTGTTAGGTACAAATTTAAATAGTTGATAGAATATTTAATTTTAAGACAAAAGTGTTTCGAAAAGGTACGTTTTTTAAAGAGTTTTTCCTAATATTTCAGAATAGACAAAATTACAAAATTTGGTACCTTTATATGTACACCTAAACAAATGCCAAATAACAAAATTTTTAGTCAGGGGCGTCCTAAACGGTAAAACAAATTTAATTTTTAATTGTTATGATGTTTGTGGTCTGTAACATAAATTTTTAAACCGAAAAACACAAAAGACCTTTTTTTATGAAAAAATGTGAAATTTTGTTGCTGAAAGTGGCAAGAAACCACAAACAAAATAGTTAGAGTAAATTTGTACCCTAATCCCATCTAGTTTAGGAAGCCCCTAATTAAAAATATCAACATTTTATTTTTGTACTTATTTAGGTGTATAAAAGTTATCATCTGTACCAAATTTTGAAATTTTTTTCTAAAATGATTTCGGAAATTTTGAAAAAAACCTATTAAAAGACGCACCCCTTGCGTAGCATTTTCGATATATGTTCATAGAAAATGTTTGTTTTAAAAATGAATATTCTATCTCCTATTTAAATTTGTAACAATAAAAAGTATTAAAAATTTATTTTATTTTTTGTAACTTTTGTGAGTTAATTTGTATTTTTTTATGTTTAATTAGGATCTCTTATTTCAATTTAAAATAAAAACGTGTACTTAGAGATTTTTGCTTTTTAATCCGCCTTCTTTCATTTCTGTACGTTTTAAATTTCTACGCTTGCTTGATAGACAGACTTTTTGATCGCACTGTATAATACGACAAAATAAACAATATGTGTTTTACATTTTATCAAAATTATTCTAAATTGAAAGTACTCGTCAGTTTGAGGATCGTGTGGCGGAGTCCCACCATGAGGCTCAATGGTCTAGGGGTATGATTCTCGCTTTGGGTGCGAGAGGTCCCGGGTTCAAATCCCGGTTGAGCCCTCCTTTTTCTCCCATAATTTACGTTTTTAATGTCTTTTAATAAATGGCTCGTGGTCTCGCTAAGAGAAATATGTCAAAAGCTCGAAAGAAACTCGACCGTTTCCATTCATCTACATTAGATCTGCAACGGAGTGAAAACCGCTGATTCGGTGTTTTTCTCGAGATAAACCCCACATTCAAATACGGCGGTGATGTATGAGTGTAATGCTCCGTTATGGGATTATGGCCTTCTTCTGGATTCATTGTTTAAGGACGAGTGGTGCATACAGGAGTTCAGTGGAGACATTCAAGTGCACGAATAATGGAAAGCACATCCTGTTTGTACAAGGGGCAATAATTCATGCGTTTGTGTTGGCAACAGTGTTGAACGTGCCCAGGTATTAGGGTTGTACCCAAAAATCATACAGAGTGGTTATAAATGATTTTCATCTAGCCAACTTTGGAATTTTTTTGCATGTAACTTTATTTGTGCCGCTCTACTTTTTTTGGAAGCTCTAGTTCTGTCATTAGTGTCACTTATTAATTAATCATAAATTGTTGTTAATTAAACTTTTATTGTTTCAACTAATTTCCCGTAATAATTGATAATAATGTATACTTTGGAAGTGTAGAATTAAAGTCTATTTTCGAAGTGGACGCTTAGTAAACGGCGATTTTTTAATTTTGAGTTAAAACAAGTAGGTACTCCTATTTTCGTGAAGCGGCATTTTTTATTTTTTATGGAAAATTCACAGCTGGCTAGATGAAAATCATTTATAACCACTTTGTACTTCCAGCATTCAAAATAATAAACAAGAGAAAATAGTTGGAGCTGTGTGGTTCTTGATTTTATTTCAGATGAATTGACTAATTTTAATTTGTGAAGTTTAAAAAATCAGAAAACCTAATAGATAAAAAGAAAAGACTAACAATAAAGCCCACTTAAAACCTGCTTAAAATAAGGGCATTTTGCACTTTGCAAAAAACTTTCAAAGATTTTCAAATTTTATCAAAAATTGATACTATACAGGATGGCCCGAAAGTCTGTAATTGGTTTATAACTTTTTTGTCATTTGATATATTGACATGCCGTTTTTAACATCCAGTAGGTCTATATAAACTGCACCATCTAAAAATATTTGTATTATATACAGGCTGTTGTATACAGAGTAGTAAACCAAAGTTATATATTTTTAAATGAAACACCCTATATATTTTTACATTATTAGTTTCTACGTAAAAAAGTAATGGTACTTTGTGTAAACTATTATAGGTCCTTCTCTGTTCATTTCGGAATTATTCAACTTTTTTTATAAAAAAGACCGACATTTGAAAAATTACTGCGTGGTCGGCTATGAATATTTTCCGAAGAGTAGTTTTAGCAAATAGTCGACTTTTTGCTCAAGTACGGAGACAGGATGTGCCAACACGCAAAAAGTTGAATAACTTTTTTTAATAGAACACTCTGTATTTGTTTTCACGGTTTTTTGCCAACAAGCAAAATGTTAAATAACTCATTTTGTTTAATAAAACACTCTGTATTTGTTTTCACGTGTTTTTGCCAACACGCAAAAAGTTAAGTAACTCATTTTCTTAATAGAACACTCATTTTAGAATGTTTTGAGACATTTCATAAAATAATTCAATTTATATATTTTACTTTTTATAAAACAATTTTTTGACATACGAATTGTATGTATATGTACGCCTACTTGATGGAAAGAATAACACAATATTGATAGTAAGATGATTGATTAGTTATTACAAAAATAACTTATTTGGATTAAGAGCAACACTATACCAGGTGAATAAAAAGTAAGGAACCAAACGTTTTTTGCTTAAATTATTTTTTGAAAAAACTAATTGATGAGAGATAAAGTACCATAAAAATGTGATGATTTAACAATATTTAATATTTAACAATAAATTTTTTCGAAATTACCTTTTGTTATTTTTTCTCATAAAAGCTATACCCAAAGGATTACAACTATCTGCTTTATATGTAATTAAAAAAAAAAAAAAATTCACATAAATTGCAATTTTGACCAAAAAAAAATCGCATAACTTAAAAACAAAACCAAATTTCGTTCTCAAAATAGGATCACATTTTTTATATTATTTTAATTTATATTAATTATTATTTTCTGGAGGCAAATAATTAAAAATATATGAATTTGTGTTGAGTTTTTCGAAATTTAACTAGTGCAGTTAGTAGTGCAAAATATCGAATGCTGACGATCTACAATGTACCACCCCAGAAATTACTGAAAAAGCGAATGAGACAACAAAGAAACAATATTGGTAAATGTCAATAATATCAGGTAAAAGTAGAAACGCTTAGGCGTAAAAATAGAATTTTTCCTCCATGGCAGAAAGATAAAACTTTTACTTGTGACACTTTTGTGACGTTTACGGATAAAAAAATGTAAACTGCTTTTTGGGAAATTTTATTTTTAAATTAATTAAACAAATTCTCTATTTTTATACAAGATAAGGATTAAAACTATCATTCGCTTCTTTTGAGCTTCTGCGTCCCATACAAGAATTTATCAACCGAATCTTTTTCAAAAAGATACACCTTATTATTAGCATCAGCTGCGGGATTATCGCACCCATTGGGCCCCATACCCAGAAACACCCCTTCTATAGAAACATCACACATTAGGGGAATTCCCAGATTGACCTTAGCAGCACACGGATTTATCTCAACTTCACTTTCAAGCAAAGGGTCAACGCAAAATTCAACATCACTGGTGATTGTGCAATTAGTTGAGTTTGTTTCAGGAACAACAAATATTCGTGATTTGACCCATGTGTCGGCGGCTAAATACCAAGCAACCAATTCACAGTGTAAATAAACACATTTACAATATTGTGGATTTAAATTGCCAATTACGGGTTGGATGGATTCACTAAAGACGATTTCTTCTGCAGTTTGCAGTAAAATCATTGCATATTCGGGTCTTTTAGGACCTAGAAAGGACCACCGTTATTTTTGCCCACCCATTAATCAGTATGGATATTTTACCGGATTGTACGACGGATTCTTGTATTGAAATCTTGTTTTTATCTCGTCTTGGGTCAGTGTACACCTCCTTTCCTCCCATTATCGCCAAATCTGTTGCATTTTTTGATTTCAAGGGTCTGGCTAATGATAAAACCCATCTTTCGTTTAGGACAGTTCCTGAAGCTATAAATCGTGCAATAGGATCTTTTATTGTCACATCGATGATTAGGACAACGTAAGGGTGAGTTCCCTTGTCGAGATAATAGCCCTTACTAGATAACTGGTCTGAGGCTGAGGATAATTGAACACTAGTTACTGAAAACAGAACAAAGTACCACAAATCCATTTTCCTGACAGTTTTTTTCAGTTTTGTTGTTATTGGTTGTTGGGGCAACACAATGCCAGAAAGGTCATTTTGTGCCGATGCATTAATTCGAATGTGCAAAAAAAACTGATTTTTTAAATTAAAAATGAGTGAAATATGATTTACACTAATAAAATTGTCAGACAAAACCTGGAAAAAAGTTAAAATCAGCGAAAAAAAAACAACTGATTTTTTAAATTAAAAAACAAAATGGAAACTGATCCTATTGTTAGTCGAAACCTGGAAAAAAGTTAAGAATAGCGAAAAATTGTTAATAAAAATTAGTAATTAAAAATAAAAGCTTAATACACATTACGAGAAGATTTTTTAAAGTGGAAAGAAAAAAGACAAATAAATATTCAATTCAAAAATGAAAATAAGAAACAACCAATAGAACTAAAAAAAAATTGTTTACACGACAAAAATAGAGGTCTGATGTCCGAATATTCCGAAATTCATGTAAAAAAGAAAATAGAGAATAGAATTTACAAGAGTTTTTTGGAAAACGAAATTTAAATCAATCGAGAAATTGGTGTAGGAAAACTGATTTACACTGATAAAAAATAACAGATTAAACAGCTAGAAAAGATTACATTTTTTAACAAAAAGGAAAAATTAATTCATTTTTCGAAGCAAATAAAACTACAAAACCAGATTTATGACGCATTTTGTAAACCTAATTTATATTCTTGTTATAGATTTTAAAACAAAACCGAAAAAAAAACAAAAAGCCAACTTACTGATGAAAAATAAAAGTATTGTTTTATCAGAAATTACAAAATAAAAAAAATACTGAAATCTAACTCACTGTAAAATAAAAAAAACCAAAAATTAGATCCACAACAATAAACCTGAATTAATAATTTTATCACCAATGAGAAGAAAGAGGTTAGAAACTTAAGTTACACAAGGAAAAAATGAAGATAATAAAAAAAACATAAAAACTATAACTTTGTTGAAACATAAGTCTAAATAAAAAAATTGTAATCACAATTTACACTAGAAATAATAACGTATTTGATTGTTTGTCATAATACTATATTACTATTTGTTAAAAATTTTTTTAATTTTAATTATTCAAAATTTCTTTCCACACTTAATCCATTTGTTGAAATTTTTGCAACTATAACCCAAAATTCTAAACCTAACAAAACAAGTATAATAAACCTCATTTTGATAAGAATAATAAAGAAAGCCACAAAGAAGAGGAAAAAACTAGAACTTTGTTAAAACATTGAAATAAAATAAAAAATAGGAGCGTGATTAACACTACAAAAAATATTGTTACCAAAAAATAATTTACACTCCAAGAATAGAATTTTAGTAGAAAGTATAAAAATAAACAACCTAAAAATTTCAATACCAAATTTCCCCTAGAACAAATAATTTTTTGTCGAAAACATTGTTCACTATTACTCCTATTAAGTAAAATTTTTTTGTTCTATTTCAAATTTGTTTCACACTTAGTTCATTTGTCCCAAACTTACCCAAAATTTGAAACCTATAAGTTACACAAAGAAAAACAGTTAAAAATCAACCTAAATAGACAAGGATAAAAACACAAAAAGAATTGGAAAAAACAAAACTTGATGAAAATCAAAAGTAGGACCCTGATTTACACTAAAAAAATCTATAACAAAAAATAATTTACAATCCACGAATAGAATTTTTAATCTAAAGTAAGAAAATAAAAAAATTACAATCAAAATTTTGACTAGAACCATTGATTAACCATATGGTTAATCAATGCTAGAACCAATAATTCAGTTAAAAAAAATTATCCATTTGTTCGAAATTTGTTTCCATACTTGGGTCATATTTCGAAATTTCCGCAATTATAACACAAAATTGTAAACCTAACTTACACCAGCAAAAACAGGTAAAATAAACCTCATATAGACAAAGATAATAAAGAAAACAGAAAAAAACTAGAACTTTATTAAAACATCGAGATGAAATAAAAAATAAGAGCTTGATTTACACCACAAAAAATATCGTTAACAAAAAATAAGAAAAGAATTTTTTATAGAGAATATAACAATAAGAAACCAAAAAATTTAAATCCCAATTTATCCTAAAATCAATAATGCTTTTTGTTGAAAACATTCTTTACCATTGTAAAATATTAAATAAAAAATTTTTTGTTCTTTTGCTCCACACTATTTGTCCCAAATAACGTATCCAAAATTCGAAACCTAACTTACATCAGGAAAAACTGTTAAAATCAACCTCATTTAAACAAGGGCAAACCACAAAAAACAGGAAAAAATTAAAACTTTGTTAAAATATCGATATGAAAATGACATAGAGTATAAAAAAATCCTTAACAAAAAAATCTTTAATATTAACAATTACAATCCAGATTTAGACTTGAATCAGTAATTCCATTAAAGATTTTTCGTCCTTTTATTTGAAATTTGTTTTCATACTTGGCCCATTTGTCCCAAACTTCCCCAATTAACCCAAAATTCGAAACCCGACCTTTGGATCAATGTCGAGTTCAGACCCCAACCTTTCGCTGAAACAAATCTGAATCTCATCTTTCTCAAAATAATCTTTTAATGCATTCAGAGCGACATAAAATATTGACATTTCTTTAAAACATGCACAATTCTCTTCCGTTTTTCACTCTCCTTGCAATTTCATTGTTTTGTATCGATAAAACTCGCAATTCCAGGTTTCACCTCCAGATCCATAACGACAGGCTCTGGACTGTTAAGCGACCTAAACCAATTTTCTCTTCGTAGATTTGTTGTGATTCCCCTAGGGTCTATTTTTCATCACAATAATTCGTTTAAAGCAAAACGTCCTTATTTATAACGAAATCACACGAAGCTTTCTTCCATTAATCCGATTTAGGCCCAAAACCAGACACAGGTGATCCATCAGCATTACAATTCCTGTCAGACTAATCACAAGCGATGATAACAGAATCATTAAAGGATTTCGTATCAATTAAATTCACATTAACTTGAAATAATCCAAATTACCCTTAAAAAACTTGAACCAAGAGACAAAACTTTCGCCAAGCCGAATTGTCACGATTATGAAAAGCCCAAGTTAAGTGGATGGATTACACTCCACTCCAAGGGGGTGAAAACTTGTTCAAAAACTGCTCATATTTACAGAGTTATAAAAATTTTATCGTTCCGAGAGCAAGTGGTCTCTTGAGACCCCATCCGAGGAATATTTTTACATGAAAAAGGGTGTAATAACTCTTTTTTACTCCGGTAAAAAATTAACTAGAAACGTCTTAAATGCACGAGGTCGTAAATTCACGAAATATGGGACGGTTTATTAATGAACGATTTTTATTGATTTTTTTGCAGAAATTTATTATTCGAGCTAGGGGTGGATTCCCACGTCGGAAATGTCGATACAGCCTCGCGGGAAACAGATCACTTTGTTCGCAAAATTTGACGCGGATTTGGGGGCTCTTCCGGCTCTGTCTGACTTCATTCGATCCTCGAGGTAGTGGTACAGTCTCGAAGCGTAGCGATTTACTCTGCCCTGAAAAAAAATCATATTGGTGGGGAAAAATTTTTTAAAATATTGTGGACTTCGATTATGCAAACTCACGTTCCAGTAACCCAATATTTATATTTTTTTGTTTTATTTTGTTTTTAATCAATTTCTTAAACAATTCACACGTTTTCTTTGTTTGTAACTACATAATAGCTAAAAAACACACAATTTTGTATATTTCCCAAGAAGCAAACATTTTGAAAACAATCTGGGAGGCATAGTAAAGATGTATGGAATTTAAGAAACAATTTTCGAATAAAACAGCAGAGAAAAACAAAAGATAAACAAATTAAAATGTTAAGCTACAGATTTTATGTTATGTGATTTTTGAAAGATTTCTTTCTAGAATAAATATTTATAATAACAAACGGAGTTCAATAATCTGAAAAAAGTGTCAAATTTAAGCATTAATTTGGATTACTATTTTACATATATTAATATTTTCCATATTTGTTTTAAAATTTAACAAAAATTTTGTTTTTTATTGAGCAAACGGATTACATCCCTATAAATTTCTTTGTTGAAAAATTGTTATTATTTCCTTTTCACCCATCATTTTGCATATTTTCAACTACTCTTATTTTTTATTTAGCAATTTTTTAATTAAAAAATTGTGAAATACAGAACGACCTCGATTATCCTAACCAATAACTTGACTTTTCGATATTCAGATGTATTTTTTGTTTTATTTCATTTTTAGCCAATTTATTAAGCAGTTCACACGTTTTATTTATTTGGTTAAAAAAAGAAAACACAAAATTTTTTTGCAAAAGAAAAAAATTTCGTCAATTAAATTAATTAATAAAAATTTGGAAAAAAGAAAGAAAAATAGCCAACTAATAATTTTATTAAAGATGTGTTTTATAAATTTTATATTATGTAAAAATTTATTTTTGTGTCTTTTTGGAATTTTTGCAAGATTTTTTTTAGAATAATCATTTAATACCAAAAGGGGTTCAATAATTAGAAATATATGTCAAATTCAAGCCCTATTTTCGATTATCAAGGTCCCACTATATTATTATTTTCCAAAAAAAAATTTTTATTTTAAATTACAGCAAAAATTTTGTTTTTTAAAAGCAAAGTAATTACTGATTACAATGCTTCCAATTTCTTTATTAAAAATGGTTA